TTGAAGGGAGCACTTCGATGACTGTTTTTGCGTGGAGTCCCCCTTACAATCAATGACATTTTAGACTGCGCTGCCTCGGGATTGTACATTGCTTTTAAAGGGTGCCGTGACTAAAAAAAAGGTTGAGAAACGCTGTCCTAGAGGGTTTTCCAAATGCAGGTGTAGGAAATGTAAATAGGTGCAGTAAGAACACTGATCCTTCTATAGAAAGGTGGTCAGCGCCCCCTTATCCCATCACATTGTAACTTTCTTCCTCGTGTTTTTGTAGTGTTCGAATGCGGGGGCCGAAGGAAAATGTCTCCACTCTCCCTGCGATTTGCAGTCTCTGGAGAAACTTCTGGAGGATGGACACTACAACGCCATAGTGAGTACTGTGTCCTGGTCTCCCCAAATCTCTCCCTCCTTCACCCATCGGGGTTTTTCAAATCTTTCTTTGCCCATTCTGTGCAGGCCTGCTTCAATGACGACGTGGTGCGGATCATTCAGCAGAATATGGAGAACGGGGTATTGAATGAAGGTGGCGAAGCTCTGAAGGCATTGTATATCAAGGTAATTAATTTGTAACATTTTGACAAATGTATGAACTGGAGTATGTGTGTCATAAGGCCGCAGTGTGCAAAATGGCCAGAATTTAATGCAAATGAATAGAAAAAACAAACCAGTCGCCATATACAGTATACACATTTATCCCCATTTACAATTTGGAAGGAAATAATTCGTTTTTTTAGGGGTTTTTAACATTGGTCACATGATCGCTCGGCCCCCCTCTTCTCCAGAAGAACAGTGCTGGGGATGGAGGCTGCAGAGGATGTCACATGTCCCAGGAGACCTTGCATTCTTGGGCTGTAAGCTGGGATGTGCAGGAGAGCAGCTGTCAGTCAAACTGGAGGGGGCGTGGCAGCTGTAATCTGACTTCTGGACCAAAGGTGTGCCTTCCATTGGCATGATGCCCTGTAGCTTCCATGTCAGAAGTGCTGACCATGCTAGGACAGATCTTCATGCCTAGCATGGTCAGTAATAAACAGGAAGGGGTCTTGTCTCCGTTCCCTCCTGTAATAAGGACTGCTCTCTCTTCCTGTGCAGGGTGACTGGTCTTGTCTCCACCCCTCCTGTAATAAAGATCGCTCACTGCTGCTCTCTCTCCTTGTGCAGGGTGACTGGTCTCATCTCCGTCCCCTCCTGTAATAAAGACCAATCACTGCCGTTCTCTCTTCCTGTGCAGGGTGACTGGTCTTGTCTCCACCCCTCCTGTAATAAAGATCGCTCACTGCTGCTCTCTCTCCTTGTGCAGGGTGACTGGTCTCATCTCCGCCCCCTCCTGTAATAAAGACCAATCGCTGCCGTTCTTTCTTCCTGTGCAGGGTGGCTGGTATTGTCTCTGCCCCCTCCTGTAGTTTTCTGCAGTCAGCCTGTTATGTGGTGCTGACCCCTCTCACAGCTCTGCTCTCTGCACAGGATATGTACAGCACACCGATGATATCACTGCAACTTATTACAAGGTTATAATTGTGTTTGCAATGGTATTTTGTACACACAGTGGATTTATATCATTGTTGGGTATTAGGAAATATGTTTAAATTTAAGCTTAAAATAATCATTTATTTCATCACTGGCTGCCTTGTGTAGTTGTTAAGCAGACCTACTTGCCAGCTAGACACGAGCCCTTCCGCCAGTGTGAATATTCGCCTACTTGTCATACACACAGAGGAGCAGCACTTTCATTGAGCGAAGTACAAACACCGAACAGTAATGAATAACTCGTTAGCTGATCTTGCGTTCGCCATGTTCCCTCAGTAACTGGAGCATTTGTGTCTTTGTTGATGTGCAGCTCATGGAGAAATCTTTTAGCTGGTTCAGCGTTGAAGACTCCAAATATTGGGAGAAGGATGACAAGTCTTTGGCCACGTAAGTTTACGCTTTGCTGTAATTCTCCACTTTTTTTCTATCCCACGTCAAGTTTGCACGCTACCACACAAGTGAGCTTTACGGTGATCGACTGCAGTTGGAGGCGCTGGTCATGTAACCTTCTTTGCTGGAGAATCTCAGAGAACGTATACTTAAACATTCACATGAAGTCGATTCCTCCCCCCCCCCAAGATTCTCTACCACCAGAGTCCACGAGGCATTGGTCACATGACCACTTTCAAAATGAACTCTCTCCACTCAGCAGCTCGCAGAAGTCCATCTCCTCGCTGCATCTGTTTTGCTCTGTTTTCACCAAGTGAAGTCCTAATTGCAGTCCAGCCTCTGACCTCTTCTCTTTATGTTCTGTGTTGCAGTGGAGTACTCCCTAATGCCATTATGCCGCCATATTCTGATCACTCGTACGCCCTGTGGCAGGATAGAGAAGACGGCAGTCATCCGCGCAATGGGGAAGTTGTGCAACCCATACTGCCACGGAAAAGTAATTTGTGTGTTGTGTATGATGTCGTGACTGCGGCAATTGTGATATTTTGTTTTTCTTACACTTAATATGTATTATTTTTTTTAGTCAAGAAAGAAGAGGACGAGTCGGGGGGTGTGCCGGAGAAGGACAATCGGCAGTGTGTGCTGTGTCTAAAATATGGAGACGATGGACCAAAGGTGTGCAAGCCGCAAGTGACGTTTTTTTTTCATGTAATTTACCGTCCACTGGTCTGCGTTGTTGTTGACTTGAGTGGTTTGCTTTTCTCTGCAAGGATGCTGGGAGGCTGCTCTATATCGGACAGAATGAATGGACGCACATCAACTGCGCTATCTGGTCAGCGGAGGTGTTTGAGGAGAATGACGGCTCCCTCAGAAACGTGCACGCTGCGGTTGCTCGAGGGCGACAGATGGTGAGTGTCAATGGTATACCGTCCTCACAGGTCTGCTGGGTGGTGGTCTATTGTGGTGGTCTGTATCAATTGCCTTTATATCTATTTATCTAGATATATAGATAATATATATATATATCTAGATAGTGTGTTGGTGGATATTGCAAGAGGTTAGTGATGTTGCTCGGGGCGGAGTTGTGGATGGCCTTTATATTTTTATTAGAGTGGTTGTAAGGTGGAGGAGTCTAGCAGGATTATTTATGATAGACTGAAGGGGTATACTCGGAGTAGAGGCCAACGAGGTGGGAGATGCAGTAGTCAAGGGAATGAATTAGTATTTTGGTTGTGTCAATCGATAAGAAGGGGCATATTTTAGAATTGTTACCAATGTGAAGGCGGCAAGATTTGGAAGTGGAGCCAAAGGGCCCCAGAGTCCTAGATCCTGTCTGTGCAGGCAGTAAGGCCACTTGCTGACTTGGCAGAATCCACAGGCAGCTTAACTCTAGACGCAGGAGTTGAACCCGTGGATTTATTTCAGACGAGTGCAGCACAGAGGATGTTTTTTTCACACTTTTGTTGTAGTTTTAGCAGTAAAAAGATGATCACTTTCCTGCACTCTGTCTCTGTGGTGGAAAGTGAAATGAACTGAACAGCAGCATGAGGCAGGGATTGTCTACCTAAAGGCTGTACTAACTAGAGACAAAACAGAGGGTGGGAGCTGAGGAACATAGCAAATACAATAAAACAAGACGAAAGGGCTACTGCTGCAACTCATTTGGCAGTTTGTCTTGACTCTTAGCTTTATGGAAGGCTGGCCTGAGAGACCTATGATGGGAGATTATTATTGTCATTATACAGGATTTATATAGCGTGGCGCTTTACAATATAAGGTAGACATTACAATTCAAGACAAGATGTAAGGAGGGCCCCGCCCCTGAGGGCTTACAATCTAAAAGATGATGACTCCGCACTGATCTAACACCTTCATTTGTGTTTCCTGACAGCGTTGCGAGTTCTGTCTGAAGTCCGGAGCCACCGTGGGCTGCTGCTTGTCCACCTGCCAGAGTAACTTCCATTTCATGTGCGCTCGGGCCCGCAATTGTACCTTCCAGGATGACAAGAAGGTCTTCTGCCAGAAACACGGCAAACTCTTGGACGGGACGGTGAGGATCTTATGCTGGTTTTATACACTCAACGGGGTGATGAGTCTGTCGGGGCTGATAGTTTCCATATTACGGGTCTGGTTCTGCGTAACACTAAATTTAGCAGAAATGTGTCTTATTTCACAAGTTCACTGGGTAACCACAACGAGGCTGTGAAAGTTGGGGGTTGGGCGGCGGTAAGGGAGGTAGATCCTGTACTTGGTGATGGTTTAGGAGGGTCATAGTGGATTATAGTTCAAGAGGGTTGTAGTGCATGCAGATATAAGACACAAATGAATGCATCTAATGTTGGGACTAGACCCACCACTGGTCACCACAAAGTGCACTTTGTCTTTATCTTAAAAGTTTTTTCTTATAGCAGATCTGCAGCTAGCAAAAAATATCAATCACCCTGCGTCCCCCCCCTTCCAGGACAATGGGTAATGGGAAATATCCACAAAGGGACACAAACAGCAGAAAATAAAATAACAGGGATTTGAACCCCTTCCCAGCTCTGTCCTAAGAAAAGTTTTGGCTATATTTGCACTTTAAAGTGACATTAAACCCTCAGATTTTTTAACATAAAACAATACTGTAATGTGCGCCTTACTGTAATCCATGTTAGTTTCCCTTCTCTTTGCTGCTCTTCCTTTTTAAATCCGTATCTTCTCATGCTGGGGGAGAACTTCCCTTTTGCAGCACTTCCTGTAGTGCTGGCTCAGGTTGTGAACCTTCACACAGACACGTTGTATCCATTCCAGAGACAAGGCAGTCTGCTGCAAAACAAAAGTTCTGCCCCAGCATGAGAACAGATACAGATTTAAAAGGAAGAGCAGCAAAGAGAAGGGAAACAACCATGGATTACAGTAAGGTTTAATGTCACTTTAAGCCCTCATTCCCACGAGAAAAAGCCGGCACGTACAGCTACGGCCGTATCGGGCAGCTCCCGGGAAGGACAGGTGCTGCGTGTGATTAGTACGCAGCCCCTGTCCTTCTCTATGGCACTACGCGGCCGTACTCACCCCAAGTGCAGGTCCGTGCGGGTGCTGGTGTCCTGGCTCGGACGCAGACAGGATCCATCCCGTGTGCGTACGAGTACGCTCACCCGCACGGACCTGCAGGGCTAGTAAGCGTTGGGTGGCGTACGGCCGCGTAGTCCCATAGAGAAGGACCGGGGTTGCATACTAATCACACGCAGCACCTGTCCTTCCCGGGAGCTGCCCGATAAGGCCGTGCATGGAGCTGTACGCGCCGGCCGTCTCTAGTGTGAATGAGGCCTAAATGTTATGAGGACTCTTCTCGCAGACCATTGCAGAATGCAGTTAAAATATCAATATGCAAATTTCCCTGAAATGCCGTTCCGATATCACTGACTCCTGTTCTTTGTGCAGAAGGTGGACACGGACTCTTTTGACGTGCTCCGCAGGGTCTACGTGGACTTCGAGGGCGTCAGCTTCAGACGTAAATTTCTGCAGGGCCTGGAGCCGGAGAATATTAACATGATGATTGGTAAGGAAGCTGATCGGGAGCACGAGGTCGCAGATAGGCGGATGTCGCTAATGAATTATCGGAGGGAGTTCAGGATTGGACGGGTCAGTCCATCCCAAACCGAAGATTCAATCTTGTACTCCCTCTGATAATTGGAGGTACCCCGAATCGGAATTTTCAGGCCGAAACCAACTTTTTTAAATGTATTTATTTTTTATTATTCTTTCTCAGCCTTTTAAAATTATTTATTTTCATTTTTTGACTTTACTGTTAGGGTCTTCAATGAAATATCAGCGGTCTAAACAGACCCCCTGATATATTTCCCTTTTGAAATAGAAAAAATCTCCCTTTCTGCAGCCCCTGTTATAAATGAACCGTAAGCCTCAATACGTAGCGCTCATATCCATTCATTGCGGATATGGTATTAATTACTATGTCCACAATCATGAACAGGAAGTGATGTAGAGCACTACCTGTTCATTCATAACTGAGGACACGGTAAGCTTACTACGTCCTCAATTATTTACAAACTCCCCACCATCAGCTGATCCTGGAGTGCTTGTAACTGCTCTCCATCCCAACTCGCTGTCACAGGAGGCAGAGCGGGTGGTGCGGGGAGCTCGATCTCTTGTGACACGGCTGACTCCTCCCCACTCCACCCTAATG